CGCCCCCTCAGCACGCCCGCCGTCAAGGCAGATGGGGTTTTGCTTTCCCACCACCAAAAGGCCAACCACCTGGCCCGCATGTGCGCTGCAATAGCGCGAAGGCACCCGCGATCCTAACCCCCGCCCCCAATCAAAACAAGGGATGAGAACTTTCTGAAAGCCTGCGAAAGGAATGGTCAAGCCTTACCCAATTCTTGTTAACTGGAGATCCTGGGATCCATCATCATTCTTCTGTTCATATCCTGCCGTTGGAAAGTCGCAAAGGGTAAGTTCTTGAAACGAAAGGTAAGCCGCAAGCGGACACAATGTTATCCACCAACCCCCAGAAGGCCCTTATGGATGTGGAATGGATGACGAGCCTCTCGGCTCTCAGGACGTTCGTTGAACGTTGCGGTCGCACCCCCTTTTCGTTCGAGTACAGACCAAATTTTAGTACACAGGTCAATCGCGTCGAAGGCGTACTCACACTCGAGAACGGGGAACTGACCATTTGTCTGGAGAATAGTGCTAAAGCCAGTTTCGTTTCTATGCGGCACTCTATGGTGTCGTTGAACATGCCAAAGAATGAGAACTTTCTTAAGGCTTTTGACGATGCACGGGCGACCTTTCGAACTTAGTGGATGACGCTGGGGGAAAGCAAGTCAATACTGTATCAGCAATATGAAATGGCCAGGGCACAACTGGCGGAAGAAAATTTAAAGATCCAGCAGGACGCCTACGCTCAAACGGCGGGATCACACAAACGCATTAATAAAATACAGCATCAGATTAACACGTTGGAATCGCAGAAAACCCAGCTGTGCGAGGAGAAGATCCAGATGCAAGATCGGATTAATCAGATGCAGGCTTGGTGCGCCCAGAGGGAAGAACCCACGGGACTGCCAGTTCAGCCGGCTACGACAGAGGGTGACAACGACTTTAGTCCACAGGCTTTTCACACCTCGGCACATACTGCCAAGATGGACGGGCATGCCGAACGGTCTTCTTTTGTGTTGGGGGCCCCGCCCCAGGTGGGGTTGCGAGGAATTCAAGAACTGAAGAACAAGTTCGTGGACAAAGGTTTTCGTCCGGAGGAGAACATCCGGACTTTTGAAGGAGCCATGGAGTATTTAGTGGAGACTTCCCCAGAACAGTTACTGGCGGCTTATCGCGACCTTTTCCCATTACCCATTAGGCCTGGGTTTGAGCTCTGCCAGGCGTGGGACAACTTTGTGGCATGGATTTATGCTATCCGTCACGAGGGCATGTCGGCCGAACAATCACAATTGGGCAGACGTTTGTATTATCAGCTTCGGGTGGCTCAGGCGGCGAAGGAAAACCCCGGAGTCAACATCCAAACTCTTGCCAATGCCATCAGCGATCCCAGAAAAGAAGAAGACCCCGTTTTTCAGGCGGTTCAGAAAGCGAAGAAACATTCCGCCCATCCCCCGAGCTATGCGCGATGTTTTCGATGTGGCCGCACAGGGCATTACAGCACAACTTGCTATGTGCAGGTGAAAAAGACTCCGTTTAAGCCAAAAAACGATTATCGGCCCCGGAAGCAATGAAATCCGGGGCCTGGAAAGTATTGGAATCCTTGCCGACTGGCCCTGGTACCGCTGGGTTACCGGTGCGGGGGCAATTCTACGCGGGAGGGGGCCAGCACATCATCCCTTCAGGCCGGGCCCCCCGGGCGGCCCCCACTTGGGAGGGATCAGCTGGCACAGGTCCTTCCGCCATTAAAAACTTCGGCAAACGAGGTCACAGTGATCGCGGCACCGTCAGACAACCCATATGTGACAGCACTGGCGTCCGAGGCGAATCGCATCGCCAAGGGTATATGGACCCATTCGGTTTGTGAACAAAGGGTGCCCATAATGCAAAGATTCCGCGACTTTGCGAAAAGGAACGATCTAGAGGTTCGGGAGGAAAACGTTCCTCTTTTTATAGTAAGTCTACAACTCCCTAAGATCAGCGCGGTGCAATACACAAGAACTTTGTTGACCTTACTGGCTTCAGGGGGATCACCGGCCAGGATGTTTTTGGCCGGTCTTCAAAGGAAGGCGGCCGCTGACCCCATAAAACAGGCCCGCCCCATAGAGAGGAGGGAATTGGATCTCATCAGCGATTTGTTCTTCTCGGAAAACGATCAGGTTGCCCTACGACCCGCCTGCGTCACAGCCAGTCGGTGGGGCGAAATCGCTCCACTCCAAAAGGAAAATTTTATTCCCCATCCTAAAAACAAGGAAGCCCTCATTGTTGATTAGGGGGCTCTCCCAAAGACATTCAAAATCGACCCTCACAGAGCGGCAAGATACGTGGTTATCGCGGGGGGAAGGTGGAAAAAAGGCAAGAGGCGTCACCACGGGAATGGTGGAGGGGGAACGGCTCACAACTTTAACCACAAGAGATATGGAAAACCTACTCCGCCCATTCGGCATGACAGCGCATTCCAAAAAAAGAGAGACACTGGCGCATGCAGCCGCAACAGTGATCGAACACGACCTCGACCCTCGACTACTAGCCCAGTTGGGGAAACACGCAAACCCTCTAGATTTACCACACAGCACAGCTCGTACATAGGGCCTTGGGTCGCCTTGGTAAACAAGTCGGCACACCTGACGGCACACATGTAGACAAGGTCAGCAATCGGGCTATGTTTCCATGGGCCTATCCGGATATAGAGCGGGATAAGGGACAACTTTTTTAATGGGAAGGGCATTTTGCGACGTACCCATCGCACACGTGTGGCCAATAAGAACGATGAAAGAAAGTTTCCGTTACAACAGGTAGACGTGGATACTCTCTCATTGCACTGGATCCGGAGCCGGCTCAATCCTACGGCTCTGGAACGGTTTAACACAGTGTGGGACTTGGTCCAACAGCCAGCTAATTCCAAGGCATGGGAACGAGAGCCCCTCTTGAGGATGACAGAGGAGGACGCCCAGGTTATGAAGAAAGCGGGCATTATTCCAACCGTACCAAAGCTACACGCTACCGGGTGGGCAGTGCCTTTTACGGTTGTGGAGGAAAAACCGTCGGGGCCGCGGCGGCGTTTCATTGCTTGGCCAAAAGCAAAACAATGAACAAGCGGACTGCGAGGCTATGGTTCCTCTGGGGCATGTTTCCCAGTACCCGGGTGTAAATTATGGTGAGATAGCTGCCATTTTTGATTTAAAGGCATCTTTCTTCCAGGTGGGCTTGTCAGCAGAGACACGCGGGAATTTCCGTTGTCATACGGAAAAGGTTGAGCTGTTCGAGTACACAATGGCCCCCATGGGGTATAAGCGCAGTCTGGAAATCGCGCATGCCATCACAAGGGTTTCGGCTGGCGACCTAGAAGTCGTTAAACCGCGTTCTGCAGCGCCGCCGGAGCTACCTCGCATGTGTGAATAGATAATATTCGTATCGCAGGGCCGTGTAAAAGTGTGGGGTTGCGGGGAAACGTTGTTGCGGAAAACATGCGCGAATACGGCGCAACAGTTGGAGAGCACGGCTTCCCACCGCGCGTTCTGAATTCACAAGGGGTTTGGTTCAAACCATATGGCTAAGACGGCATCCCTCAGGGACAAAACGTTACGGATATCAAAGAACGTCACATTCCTCCGCAAGATTTCGGTGGAGGAATTGGAAAGCCCCGCTTCGCGTGTGGTGCATGCGGCGGCGGTTCGGAGGTTTGTGTTTTCGGCATTATTTCTTTTTTAAGATGGTGCGCCGAAGGCCGCCGCGACTCAACAGGGAAATGTTAGAGGCCCAAGATCCGCCAGCCCCACCCCCCTTTGTTCTTAAGTAAGGGCAGGAATGGCTTGACACTTTTTTGCAAAATAATCCTGTCAACCCCCCGAGGGCCAACCCGACCTCAGGGACTTTGGTGCCTGACGCCTCCTTATATGGATGGGGCGCGTTGTTGTTTAAGGGCAACGGGAAAGTGTGGGCCACATTTGGCGCATGGGAACAAGCCCCCCACATTATTTCGCAGGCTGAAGCGGGGGCCGCCGGATTGGCCCTGCTCGTTTTCAAGGGCAATTTGCCCGCAACACTCCACATATGCATCGGCAACGCGACATTAACGCATATTATGAATAAAGGTAACACGCATTCCGATGCCGTGGTTTGGGGGGCGGGACATTTCTACAGGGCGCTGCGTGAGCAAGGTTTAACCCCCACATGGGACTATGTCGCGTCGGATGATAACCCTGCGGATTGCACCCCACGAGGGCCAAAGGCCTTGCCGGCGGACATCGCGAAGGAGTGGGGCTTGCGAAGGGGAGCGCGGGAGGCGGGTTAAGGGCGCTTTCTGCACATCCTTTTTGACAGTTAATTGCAAGCTTTTAACTTCCTTATTATAGGAATTAGGATCGGGCTCGAAGACACCCAACTATGCAAACTAGCAGCATTGCGTTCGCGATGGGAATTAAACATAAGGCCTCTCCTACTTCCTCGCTTTACTTCATAGAGGAAGGTAAGGTATAGACTATTTTTTGTCTAAAACGCCTCCACGCGATTGACCTGCGTATAAAACTCTGGCCCAGAGCCAAAGTTAGAAGTCGTTCGACCACGGTGTTTTACGAAGGCCTTGGTTACCGTTAGACTTATCCATTCGAAGCCTGCGCGGGATTACTGGATCGTACTCTGGGTTGTAATATCTTGCTTTTGCTGACTGCTCTTTAAGAACTTGCGCTTTCCAACCCTCTACACGTCGGGAAATTAGGGACCAAAAAAGGAATAGAATATGATTGCAGTTGGCATACAAAATAAGCGTGGCTTGGATATTGTTTTCTCAGGCTTCTAAAAAAAAAAGCCCCCCAACGCCTAAGGGGGACCAGCCCAAACACCACAAACCGCCATCAATGACGTTTGCGAAACTATAAAAAGCAGGCCTCAAAAACGGCGTCCTTAATCTTACGACGGGAAACGAAACAAAAACATGCTCCGCAAGGCTCTTCCCCCCTTGTTTTTCCACCTGGGGGTAAAAATAGCCAACACCGAGGGCCCTGGTGAAAGCGTTCTCTACAGCGCCGGCCCCTTGGCGATGCCGGCCGCCCCATCGTGGCACCAAGGTCCAGCACCCCGCATTGTCGGGGGAAGCCGAGCGCCAGCAACGTTCGCCACCTGGAGAACTTTGCGGCGCCCGGCTTACGGCATCACACAGT